AGTTTTGCCAAAAAAAATTTTTAAATGTTTTGTTATATCAAAAAGGGGGAGATTGTTGAACTATGTTTTGATATAACAATTTAAGGCAAAATGGTTTTTGGACTTGAATTGAATTTACAAAATGTTTTTGGACTTAATTGAATTTATTCAAAGTTTTAAAAGGTTTCAAAAATAATTCAAAGTCCATTAAATTCTGATTTGAGCCAAAATGCTAAAGGGTGTCAAAGTGCATCCATGCACCCCTGCAGTGCATCCATGCATCCATGCAATGCATCCCTGCACTTGCACTAGTGCATCGATGCACCATGCAGTGCATCCATGCACTCAAACACCGAATGCAATCAGTGCATCGATGCATCAAGGTTGTGCATCGATGCATCAAGGCTGTGCATCGATGCATCCTGCTGTGCATCCATGCACGAAGGCTGCAACGGCTAGTAACGACTAGTTTATTTGAATTTAATGAAGGGGTATCGATGCACCATGATAGTGCACCGATGCACCATGTTATGAGCAGCCTTTTTTAGTAGAAAAATCATCCCCAAACGGCTCCAAAACATCCCCAACGGCTATATACAACATCAAACACATTCTAAGCTATAAATACAAGCTAAGGACACTTGAAGAAGTGAGAGAACAACTATCTAAGCAATCAAACACAAGAGAAGAGTTTTTCATTCTTATTTCATCTTTCTCTTATAAATATTTTATTCTTGTGAGCTCAATCTTGTAAACACCTACCTTAGAGAGGTTTTCTTGTTTACTTATTTTATCCTTTTATAAAGGGGAAAGGTTCTAGCTTATCCCGTGTAAAAGCTAGGGAAAGGTTCTAGTTTAGCCCGAAAAAACTAGGGAGTTGTAAGGTTATCTCTTTGTCCTCAAAAGAAAGAACAAATTAGTGAATTTGTTGGAAAATCCTTGGTGAGGAGCAAAGGTAGTGGACGTAGACTTTGGTTTAGAAAGTCGAACCACTCTAAATCGCTATGCAATTTTCTATCTTTCAATCTCCTTACTCCCTAAACTCAAAAACCGTTCCGACCCATCTTTACAAACCGTTCCAGTTTTCGAATCGAGCTTCCGAAAATCCCAAAAGGTACACTCTCTAGGTGTATCGGTACACTCAGTGTAAAATTCAAATATTTCGACCGTTGGTTGACTTAATGCATCGATACATCCCAGGTGTATCAGTACATCTGCTGTGTATCGGTACACAAAATGCATTCGATGTTTTTCAGAGCCAGGAGTGTATCAATGCATCTGTTGTGTATCGGTACACAAAATGCATTCGATGTTGGGTGTGTATCGGTACATCCCTTTGTAAAAATAATTTTTGGCCCGATTAAGGTTAGAAATACTTTGTAAAAATTGTTTCAAAAATATTTTAAGTCTAAAACACAATTTTACACTTAAGTAAGGTTTAAAATTGACGTTTGAAAATTTGGAGTAATATTTTTTTATATTCGAATAATTAAATCGAATATATGATTTAAAATTGAATAAAATCTTAAAATTCAATAATACTTAATTTATTATATCGAAACATCAAAATATTTTCAACAATCTCTCACTTTTTGATATAACAAAACATTTAAGTAATTTTAAGATTTTCTTTGAAAATCATTTTTGAAATCAATTTTGATACTCCTCCTTACTTTATTCTCCCCTTTTTGTTAAATCAAAAAGTCTCTATAAAACGTTTTTAAACAAGTTTTTAAGAAAATTTTAAATCTTACTTAACTGTAAAATTGTGTTTTAGTCTTAAAATATTTTTGAAGCAATTTTTACAAAGTATTTCGAACCACAATCGGGCCAAAAATTATTTTTACAAATGGATGTACCGATACACTCTTGTATGTATCGATACACACCCAACATCGAATGCATTTTGTGTACCGATACACAGTGTCTCAGTGTAAAATTCAAATATTTTAACCGTTGGTTGACTTAGTGTATCGGTACATCCCATGTGTATCGGTACACTAATTACATTCAATGTTTTTCGGAGCCAGAGTGTATCGATGCATCTGTTGTGTATCGGTACACAAAATGCATTCGATGTTGGGGGTGTCTTAGTGTAAAATTCAAATATTTCGACCGTTGGCAGACTTAGTGTATTGGTATATCCCAGGTGTATCGGTACATCCCAGGTGTATCGGTACATCCCAGGTGTATCGGTACACTAATTACATTCGATGTTTTTCAGAGCTAGAGTGTATCGATGCATCTGTTGTGTATCAGTACACAAAATACATTCGATGTTGGGTGTGTATCGATACATACAAGAGTGTATTGATACATCCCTTTGTAAAATTAATTTTTGACCCGATTGTGGTTTGAAATACTTTGTAAAAATTGCTTCAAAAATATTTTATGACTAAAACATAATTTTACACTTAAGTAAGGTTTAAAATTGACATTTGAAAACTTGACATTTGAAAACTTGGAGTAACATTTCGATATTCGAATAATTTAATCGAATATTAATTTTGAAATCAAATATAAAATCTTAAAATTCAATAGGACTTTATTTGTTATATCGAAACATCAAAATGTTTTCAACAATCTCCCCTTTTTGATATAACAAAACTTTTAAGTAATTTTAAGATTTTCTTTGAAATTATTTTTGAAATCAATTTTGAAAATTACTCTCCCTTACTTTATTGCGGGCAATCCAAGAAGAAGCACAAGGCACACGTGGCTACTTGGAGTGATGATAAATCATCAAATGAAGAGGAACAATAAGTAGTGAACCTGCGCTTGATGGCCACCGGGAAAATTCTCAGGTAACCTCTAACTCATTTGATTTCGAAGATTATTCTTTTGATGAGTTAGTAGAGGAATACACTGGGTTGACTTCGGACTATGAGAAATTATTTTTGAAAAACAAAAATGATTTTTCAAAACTGAAAAACGAAAATGATCGCATATCCAAGACCAACATTGATCTTGAGAGTAAGATTAAACATTTGTAAATCAAACTAGATGAGTTTGAAGTCATATATAACCTTTGGGGACTCATTTTCTGCAAAATAAAACTGCCGAGAACAGGGTGTATCGGTACACTCCCAAGGTGTATCAATACCCCTTCATAAAATTCAAATTTTATGACCGTTGGGCTGAAATTACTGTAGCAGTGTATCGTTACACTGTAGAAGTATCAATACACATTTTACATTCGATGTTTTTGAGCATCAGTACTGCTCATTACTGTTCATACAATATCGTTACTGTTCACACAATATATGCACTATTCATACAGTACATTACTATTCATAAAAATATTTTTGTGCTCAATTCTAAATTAAATGGACTTTGAATTATTTTTGAAAACTTTGAATAAATTCAATTCAAGTCCAAAAACATTTTGCCATAAATTGTTATATCAAAATATAGTTCAACAATCTCCCCCTTTTTGATATAACAAAACATTTGAAAAATTGTTTTTGACAAAACTCCCCCTTAATAAAATGTTTAATGAGAAAGACATCAATTGTTACCAATTGTTTGAAAAATATATGAAAATGTTAAACTCCCCTTTTTCATTAAGAAATTGATTTTTTTTTCAAACCAGACTTCTCCCTGTTTTTGTTATATCAAAAATAATTCAATCTTTTGAAGTTCTAAAATAATATTGGAGATTAAGTGATAAATTTGACATTTAAAATTTATTTGAAAAATAAAAGCTATCCCTCAATAAATGTATTCCAAACAAAATTAAGCTTTTCGAGTTTGGCACTTAAACAAAGTTGAATTTCAACATAAAAGAGCAAATATGTTAATAGCTCATGAAATTCAATATATCAAAGTCTAAAATACTTTATGCAATATTAATTGTTGAAATTAAGTACATATGCATAAAGATCTTCAAGAATGTTATGCATTTGAAAAAGTTTGATGTCAATTGTTAGAGAGATATCATTTTCATTTAAACCACATGCATACACATCTAAATTTAGGTCAAAAATTTAAAATTTATAAAATCAAAGTATTTGAAAAGTTAATATCAATTGTTAGAGATATATCATTTGCATTTAAAACTAATTTTGACCAAAATTTATTATGATGAACAAAAATTACGAAAAATTATTAAAATTTTAAAATGTTTATCATACCATTTTTTTCAATTTTTTTCTTACACTTTATCTTCAACTACACCTATTTCGAATTAATTTGTGAATAGTGAAGATGCCCTGCACTCCTGTCGTCCTGAATTTTTAATTCAAAATATTCTTTTGAATAGTGAAGATGGCATGCTTTCAATACCTTTTTAGATTCACTGTAGCTCAGGGCGGAGCTTAGTGAGAGTCCAAAGGGGCTCGACCCTTGTTAAAATTTGTATATTCGATATAATTTTGGTCTAATAGTATTTTGATTCATGTAAAAATAAATATTTAAATTAAAAAATATAAGAATTTATTAAATATTTAATTAAGTAATGAACAAACTAAAAAAAGGATAATCTCGTATTCTCAAAAATTTTGGTTTAATAACAATTTAGGTGTTATCTTGTAAATTTTGAGTTTTTTTTGTTTTTTTATAAATCTATGGTGAATACAAAATAATATTTGTATAAAGATTCTTAACTATTTGACAATGAACGTTCATACCCCTACATGTGCAGTGTTCAAACTCGAGACCTCAAGGATAATAACAATCTCTTAATCACTAAGGCCGTTTGATTCGTGCTGAATTTTGAGTTTAAATACCTAATAAGTCTTTACATTTTCCTTAAATATTATAATATTTAGTTCTAGCTCTGTTCCTGTTGTAGCTTTTGATATATTTTGGAAAATAAAAATAACAATGTTATATTTTGATAAAAAATATGCAATATTAATTTAATTTAGCTCATACACTATACTCAAATTTTAAATTTTAAGAGATAACAATAATTTTTTTAACTCTTACATTTAAAAGCCTTTTAAATAATGCATTAATTTAGTAATTTGTAAATAATTATTTTTTTTCATGGTAAACAATAAAACAAATAGAATTCATTTATGAATAATGCGCAATTGCAGCTTCAAGTTGTCATATCCTTTACGGCATTACCTCTTCTGGGTCAAAATCTCCGATCTTTATCGTCTCCCCCTTCAGCCATGACAACGGTAGCACCTCCGGCGGCGGCGGTCCATATAGATCTCTGGCCCATCCTCTCCGAATCTAAACGCATAATCAATGCCCATTCCCGCCACTTCCTCGCTCTCTCCGTCCTCTTCCTCCTCCCTCTCTCCTTCTCCTTCTCCGCCTACCCTTTCATCAATCAACTCTTTTCCCAATCCTCTCCACCCTCCATCGAAACCCATTTCAGTTTCCTCTACAACCCTTTGCAAAACCCCCCTATCTTTCCCATTAAATACTTTTTCACTCTCCTTTACATCCTCTTCGTCTTCATCTTCTCTCTCTTCGCCACCGGCTCCATCACTTACAGCGTTTTCCACGGCTTTTACGGCCGGCCCGTAAAGCTTGTATCTGCTATCAAATCAGCTTTCACTTCCTTCTTCCCTTTGCTTTCAACTTGCCTTGTGATGGAGCTTATCCTCTCTGGGATCCTTGTAATTCTCGGTTTAATCTTTTTGGGATTACTCAAATTAACCCAAGTTTTAGGCTTCCAAGTTAATTACGCTTCACCTTATTTCCTTTCCCTCTGTTTAGTTTTCCTTATTACTTTCATGCTTATTGTGTTCTATTTACAAATTAAGTGGTCATTTGCTCAAGTTGTTGTTGTAGTTGAATCAAGCTGGGGACTTGAACCATTAAAACGAAGTAAAAATCTAGTTAGAGGACTGAAAAGAGTTTCTTTTTCTATGCTTCTGTTTTTTGGGCTCTTCAGTGGGATTTTAATGTGGGTCTCAGCTGCAGGATGGGATAATGCGGCTGCTGTTAAATGGAAAAATTCGGCATTTATTCTACACATTGTGCTCACTTCTGCTTTGTTCATGTCGATTATGCTTTCTTATTTGGCTGCAACTACAGTTTTTTACATGTATTCAAAGGCTATACATGGAGAGCTTGCTTGGGAAATTGCTGAAGAGTTTGCAAGAGAGTATGTAAGCTTACCTTTTGATGATGAGAAAGTTCCTCATGTTGTATCTGTTGTTTATGGTTGATGACAATAGGAGCTCCTTTACTTGTTTAGTGTTTGTTTACTAGTATATTTGAAAAGAAAGTTGTGTGAAATAATGTTCAAAAAAGCCTTGACTTATGTAATCATAAAATGTTAATTGTTTTTTTAATTTGTTGATATGTTGCTTGAATTGGATATGAGAGCAATGGTATATGATTTGTGTAAGAAATATGTTGAAAATCTGTGAATTGATTCATTTGAGGGTTTTGGCTGTGTGAACAATGGAATCATGCTTGAAAAGCTTGCAAGTATCTAGGACTTTGGAAGCAATCCACCACTGAAGCTTCTAAGTTTGAGAATGCTCCAACTGAGATAAGCTTTCAACATTACAGTCCTGATCATTTATCTTCAAATCTTGAAGTTGAAATATTTAGTAGATTTCAGAGTGAAAGGGGAGGGCTTTGAAGTTCGAAGTTCGAGGTATGGAAGATTGTGTGCATGAATGTAATACCCACTCTGCTTTCTGAAGATAGCAACCCTCTGCAAGTCTGCTTAACCAATCTTCATATTTGTGCTTACTTTGGTTTCTTTATCAAAGCCTAACTTATGGTTTTAGTGCAGAAAATTGGGTTTAGGGTGAGATTGGTTCCAATGACAGTAGCAATGAAATCGAGTATTGTAAGAGTGTAAGAGCAAGACAGATATTTAAAAAAAAAATTAAACGAATCGAATTGAATCAAGCTTTCGATTTAAAAAAACTAATTGAACTTAACAGATACCTCAATTATGAGACACCTTTGAACTTTGGTTGCAATACTCTTCGTAGGCTCTGTGAGGGCACAATTTCCCTCTCTACTGTGTTTACAATGGTCAGTTCGTTCTTCGTTCTCTTCTCGACTTCTGGCTTTTCACTCTCACTCTTTCGCTTCTCGGATGACCACCCTTTTCATGCCATTATTCAGATCATGCACCAATCTCAGTTCACTAGCACAACTCCACGGCCACCTTTTCGTCACTGGGCTTCTCCATGACCCACTCCCTTCCACCAAGCTCATTGAATCCTATTCCCAAATGGGTTCTTTTCAATCTTCCAAACTCGTTTTGAAATCCTTCCCCAACCCTGATTCTTTCAACTGGGGTGTTCTAATAAAATGCTCTGTTTGGAGCAACTTATTTCAAGAAGCCATTTTTCTCTACCTCACTGTGATAAAAAATGACCAAGTCCATAGCAGTTACTTCATATTTCCTTCGGTTCTCAGGGCTTGTTCTGGTTTTGGTGATATGGTTATTGGTGAAACGGTTCATGGGACCATTATAAAAAATGGGTTTGGAAAAGATTATGTTATTCAGTCTTCACTTCTTTCGTTGTACAGCGAAATGGGATGTTTAAGCATTGCCAAGAAAATGTTTGATGAAATGACTGAGAGACTTGGTTTCCTGGAGTTCGATTATTTTGAGTTACGTGGAGAATGGGAAGGCTAATGAAGGATTGTATATGCTCCGTTTAATGGTTTTGGAAGGTATTAGACCGGACTCCGTAACAATGCTTAGCGTAGCTGAGGCTTGTGGTGACTTGGGGTTCTTAAAATTAGCAAGGTCTATCCATTGTTATATAGTGAGGAGGAAGATTGAAAGTGATGGATCATTGGCCAGTTCTCTTGTTCCAATGTATAGCAAATGTGGTGACTTGGGTAGTGCAGAGAGAATCTTTGTAAATGTAACGAAACGTAGTACTTCACTGTGGACAGCGATTATTTGCAGTTATCATAGGAATGATAGGTTTGTAGAAGCGTTACAATCCTTTGTTTCTATGTTAGACTCTCGCGTCGAACCCAATTCGGTGACCATGATGAGTGTTTTAGGCTCTTTTGCAGGGTTAGGATGGCTTAGAGAAGGGAAGTTGGTTCATTGTTACATAATTAGGAGAGAAATGGATCTTGACTATGATGTTTTGGGGTCAGTTTTCATAGAACTATATATGAAATGTGGAGAGTTAAACTATTGCGAAAACGTTCTTTGCATCGTCGGAGGAGGAAGTAGTGTGGCATGGAAATCATCTCGATTTGTATTGAGAAAGGGTTGATAGGAGAGGCATTGACACACTTTGTGCAAATGCAGACTAGGGGGTTAATGCCTGATTCATTTAGCCTTGCAAGTTCTCTCTCAGCTTGTGCTGATGGAGGTTTGTTGCTATTTGGAGATCAGATACATGGTCATATCATCAAAAGAGGCCTTTCGCATGAGTTTGTCTAGAATTCGCTAATTGATACGTACTTGAAATGTGGTTTAACAGAACTAGCATACATGATATTTGATGAGATCAAAGAGAAGAGTGCTGTAATGTGGAATCCCATGATTTGTGGATTCCATCAAAATGGAAATTCTGTGGAGGCAATTAGCCTCTTCGATCAAATGTACTTGAACGGTCTTGAGATGAATGATGAGACCTTCTTAAGTGTGCTTCAAGCATGCTCCAATCTGGGTTACCTGGAGGAGGGGAAATGGCTTCACCACAAGCTGCTTACCTACGGTGAAAGGACGGATCTCTATATCGGTACAGCTTTAACAGATATGTATGCCAAGTGCGGAGATCTTCTAACAGCACAAAGGGTTTTCAATAGCTTACAGAATCATCAAATCGATGCCATTGAAACTAATAACTTTAGATCATATACGGACCATATATGCAAAAGGTTAAAACCCCAACCAAAATACTCGAACAAAAATAGATACGAACAAATCTGATTTCATCGAAAAACGAATCACAAAATGAAATTAAGTTATTGAAAGACCAACATGAACTACAAACCAGAGTTGAGCATCGTGATTAACTATCCACGAACGCAAAATTGCGCATCAAAATTTAATCCGAAGGTCCATAACAGAGAAGAACAACAAGATTTCAAATAAACGCAATCTTGATCAATCGTGGGGCCGTCAAATTCAACCATGAGAAAACATAAATAAAAGAATAACCAAATGAGGGAGAAAAAAATGAAAAACGTAGTACAAAGATATAGATAAACGTCCAGAAAAGTAGGGATAAACGTGTCACAAAGACAAAATTATTCTTATTAAAAAACTAAAAACTAATAAAGAAAAAAAATTGGCAGTTGGTAACGTATCAAAATCGATACCGCCGTCTATTAAATAAAGTAAAAAAATTATTTTGATCTATAAAAAATCACAAAAAAAGAAAAAGAAAGGGAGAGCGGCTAGATAGTCATCAAATATCTTATTATCGTAAATGTTGTATATAATACTACTTACATTATACTATATAAAATTTATATTATAAAAAGGATAAACATCACAAATGATCATTAATGTTTGAGTAAATTTTCGTTTTCCCTACTAAAGTTTTGAAAATAACAAATCGATCACTAATGTTATCAATTTATAACAAAATAATCACTAACGTTATCAATTTATAACAAAATGATCGCCAACATTATCGATTTATAACAAAATGATGATTTCACTATCATCCTGTTAAATTGTTGAGGTGAAAATGTTAAAAAGGTTAATTTTTAATTTTACCCTTGAACTACTACTAAAACATCAAATATGTCATTGAACAATGATTTTATATTTAATTTATCTCATAAACTTTTTAATTTTTCTTGGGTCCCGAAAATTACACAAAGAAAAGCATCAGAAAACTTGATAAATTTTATACTAACTTCGTGTGATTGTGCATATAATTTGTACAAAAATGATAATGGACTGACCTCTTTAATTGCTTGTCGGCAGATCGTACAGAAATGGTAGAAGAGGGAAGATCCAGGACTCCTCATGAAAGAAATGGTTGCTGGATAGGAATGGCAACGGGTCGGGTTCGGAGCTGGTTTTGTTCGTCCCGTCTCTAAACTCGAAATTAATCCCCGTTCTTGACCCCGACCCGAGCTCCGACAGATTTTTTATCGGGACGTCCCATCGAGAATTTTTTTTGTCCCGTCCCCGAACCCGACCCGAAATATTATATCCAAACCCGAATCTGAACCCGAATCCGAAAATATTTTATATATAATTAATATAAAATATATAAAATATAATATATATATATAATCGGGGAGGGTCGGGGCGGGGATACCTTACCCCGAACCTGAACCAGACCCGAAAAAATCCCCGATACTCGACCCGACCCGACCAGATATTATTCAACCCGACCCGACCCGAACTTGACCGGAATTCGAATTTTCCCATCGGATTCAGGTCATGTTACCATCCCTATTGCTGGATTAGATATCATTCTAAACTTAAATATAATTTTATTTTATTTAATTTTTATTCGAAAATTTAATTAAAAATCCAACTCAAGTTGGTTTAACATAATTTTTAATTTAAAAATATATGATATTAATTAAATAATACTTTAAATACTTATTTAGTGCTTATTTGTGATTGAAACACGTAACTTGTTGGCATGAATATATCAAAGACTGAGGTCAATCAAAGGGAAAAAACAAATGTGTGGCAAATTGAGGTACTCAACTACACAAAGAAACAGTACGTGTTGCCGACACAACGAAGAAGTTAAGAGGGTGGTCCACACTCCTTAAATATCCAAATCATATAATCTATCTATATATTGATATCATCCTCATCAACTCTCAAGCAAGAAATCGGCACATATCATCCTACAGGCTACACGCTATGGAGAAAGACCACAAACCAAGCAACTCCGACCTCTCCTCCAGCGCTAAGACGGAGGCCGACGCACCGAAATCCACGATCAACAACGAAACCGACAAGTTCAACAAGGGCAAGGTTGCCGGTGCCGCTGCTGATCTATTGGACGCTGCACAAGACTACGGGAAGCTGGATAAGAACACGGGTGTCGGCCAATACGTCGACAAGGCAGAGACTTACCTGCACCAGTACCAGACTTCCGATCAATCGGCCCCGCCCGCCAAGCCGGAGTCGCATGACGGAGAAAAGGGAAAAGAGTCTGCTGGAAGCGCCGCATGTGGCGTTGGAGGTGCGGATTACACGAAGATGGCTCAAGGTTTCTTCGGCAAATAAAATCATGTAGACAAGTTATTAGGCTTCTATGAACTTTATTTTAATGTTTGTTTCTGTCTCTATGTTGGATGTCCCATGTAATCCGTGTAATATGCAGTATTAATAAATTATCTATGTTATATTAAAGATCATCTTAAATGGTTTAAGTTGTATTTTAGGATATGTACCAATTGTGTAGGATTGAATTTTTATTGTTCCAATCTAATCCAAAAAGTTATATCACATGCTCCCAATTCGTAATAAGAATAATGATGTAAACCCATATTTTTTTTCAAAAATATTAGTCTTTAGTTTGTTTTAATTATAAATAAATAAATAAAAGATTTTTTTATTAAGCTAAAGGTGATTTTGTTATAAATACTCTCAATCAATTGAAAATGAACGTTTAATCACTCTACTGTAGTCGTTGGTGCACGAGGTGCACGAACTCGTGATCTTTAGGAACAAAAATGATTTATTTAACTACGGAGGTAAGTTGGTTTGGGGAATAAATAAAAGATTGTTTTAAATTTTAGGTATGGTTTTGAAATGATTGAAAATTTAGGTATTATAATATAATAAAATTAATAGTTTAGGTACTGAACTTGTAATTTATCCAATTACGAGTTTAAATACTTAAACTATCAATTTTAGTTTGGTTTAGTACTTAAATTTTCAAATTTTTTTCAAAATTATACTTATAGTTTAATTTTTGTTTCATTTTAATATCATCGTATTAAAAGTTTAACGTTTTTAATACCTAAACTTTCAGTTTACCCTAAAAATAATCTCTAAAGTTAAGTGATCAAATTAAAAAAATAAAAATTTAGTGATCGAAACAGAAGTAAGGTAAAAGTTGCGTGCTAAATCTGTAGTTCATCCGGAAAAAATTAGAAAAAAACCAGTGTTTCAGCTGGAGTGAAGGGGAGTGCGAAGCGACGGCGTTTTGGTGGACATGGTTGCTAGTTCTGGTTTTTATTTAAACAGTTGGAGTAAGGTCAAAGAAATCGTTGGATCTCCTCGGGTTCATCCAGCTTTTAAGGTAATTTTTTCCCTCTAAAATTTATGATTCCAATTTTAGCTTTTGTTTTCCAGACTCCAATCTCTCTCTTTTCACAGTCACTGAGATTTAGTATAATTATTGCATGATTATGCCGATTCCGAAAGTAAAAGAATAAGGGATTCAAATATATTTGAATTTTGAACAATTGTCTTCAGTATTCTAAAATCGTGTTCTTTTTTATTTATTAATTTTCAGGTTTGTTAGATTTCTGGTCTAGGTAGTTAAGACTCGAGTTAATTGCTGTGGTAATTATTGTTATTATTATTTCTTATTGTTGTTTCAAGATGTGGAATTTTTCTTGTAATACCATCGGAAGCATTGGGTTTAAGAGTTCGAAAGAGACTGGTCTAGCTTGTTCTGAGTGTTCAGACGATGAGGTGTGTTCAAATGGTAGTGGTGATGAAGGATTAGAGTGTCCAATTTGTTGGGAATCTTTCAACATCGTTGAGAATGTGCCTTACGTCTTATGGTGTGGTCACACTCTCTGTCAAAATTGTGTGATGGGTCTCCGGCCTGCTCTTTTGAAACTCAACACTCGGAAAATCAAGATCCCCGTGTTCATTTCTTGTCCATGGTGCCACTCGCTATCTCTGCGACTGGTTTATAAGGGGAACCTCAAGCTCCCTCGCAAGAATTTCTTCATTTTGTGGATGATCGAGAGCTTAAATGGGGACAGGTATGGCATTGCCAGGAGAAGTCTGTCTGGGTACGATCAACGTCTTGGCTTTCCGAGATGTAATCTAATGCTGGGAAATCAAGCTAATCATGGTGTTGTAAGGTCAGGGTCATCTGCGAACCGTTCTGAACAAATGAGATCTCAAGATAACGGCGGCAGAAATATTGCAGCGAGGCATCATTTCTCACTTCATAAATCATTGGATTTCTTCATTCACTTTACATCCAAGTTCCCATTTGTCATCGTTCTCCTTCTGGTCGTCTTCTTTGCAATACCTGGGAGTGCTGTTATCCTATTACTCTATTTGCTGGTGACGGTTTTCTTTGCCATCCCGTCTTTCGTGGTAATGTACTTTGCATTTCCTACGTTGGAAAGGCTGGTAAGAGAAATCACCTCATGAGATGTGGACATGTTGCTTTCTCACTTCAGGTTCTATGAGATATATGGTTCCAAGTGAACACGTCTATTGGTGTACTCTGGCATCATCCTTCTTTCGATGCTCATTCCACAGGTTTTACTTGAAATTTAGTAGCTCCATTGCTGGTAATGTGGCTCTTTTAGTATCCTGAAGCTTTCAGATTAATGTATTGTTTTCATTATGGACTGTGACCTCAAAAGCTTGTTTTGGCAATTGTGGTTATGCCCTTAATTAGATGTCAGTGAAATGGCACCTACCTGTTGTACAAGCTTGAGTTCTTGAAAGAATATAATTTGCAATTAATTGTGGTGGTTACTTCGGTTTCCTTATTGTTTACTATCATAATTTTTTATGCGTTTTGATATAAAATTTTCCACTTGATATTGTTGCAGACGATTCAAAGGTCAGATAAATGGTTTTACCTGTTGCTTAATCTTTTAAACCTTGAAAATTACTTTTACTTATTGCAGCTTTTGTCATTGCGGCCATGGCTTTACTGCCTAGTATATGTTAACATTTTTTTAGGGTAAACTACATAAACTACCACCGAACTTTAGGCGTTGTATCGTTTATACCACTGAACTTTTAATTTTGTCAATTATAGCACTGAACTTTGATTTTCGTTTCAATTATACCATTGAACCGTTAAATCCTTAACGGCATGGTGACGTGGCTGACGATTGCCGACATAGCTAACGGCTACTGACATAGACACCTCATCAAAACAATGTCGTTTTGATCCAGCTGTCAACGATTTAACAGCCCAGTGGTATAATTGAAATAAAAATCAAAGTTCAGTGGTATAAACGATACAACGCCTAACGTTCAGTGGTATCTGGTGTAGTTTACCCTTTTTTTTAACTATATCAGAATGCGCAAATGGCCTTGTTTTTGCTTAACTTGGTCTCATCTCTACTACTTGATTTTGATGCATTATTGAAATAATGCTTGATGTACTAACCTTAAATGTTACGCTAGTCATCATTTTATTCTTGTTCATCATATAGGAGATCTTTTTCATCTACCAAAAAGAAAAGTTCAACATAGGAACGTTGTGGTTCTAATGCAGTATGGAGGTTTGCAATATTGCTTATCTTGTGGTGATAGTTTAATGTTATAATATGCACAAACTAAAGCCTTGATAAGATGTAGTTAACTAAGGTTTCAAACTCTCAGCATGCTTTTGTTATCCCTAAATATTTTTCAGTTCCAAGTAGTAGTTTATCATCAATCTTTAGGAGTATTCAAATTCCTTCAAGATCAAATTTATGTAAAACAATTTCTGCAATTTATCGTCATAACATATCATTAGCATTTTAAAATTTTATTTTGTTTTAACAGAGTATTGTCCAAGACATGGGCTAGGATTTTCATATATGATCATACCAAACATCAGTTGTCAGAAATATTAGTAAAGCTATACAAGGTTCTTGAAGAATCTTCTTGATTGAGACAAGTGCTAAATGATTCAGGTTATGATGTCTCTACTTGTGATTGGCATCCTTTAGTTAGTCAAAGCACTGTGTAAATGATCTTCACATATGTAATTTTAAACTCATGACACTACATTATTAGTTAAATTCAACAGCAGAAGCATGTCACTGGAAGTTCTCCTGTTGTTCTAATTATATTCGCTTTTTCCTTTGCTTTAAGCTCATCATTTCTTTGCCTTGCCTTTGCCTCTGCTCTTGCTCCATCTGCAACTTGTTTGATGTAGTCCATTTCATTTCTAAATTTTTTTAAGGCTTTTGCTCTCTTTTTCTCCGACTCACTCTTCTGCTCGAAAAAATAAGCTGTTAGTTTCTAAGAATTATTTCGAATTTAGAGAAGGAAAACAAGTCTAACCTCTGCATTTTCCAACTTGCTTCTGGCTTTCTTCTTTTTCTTTTCCTCCCAGGCCACTATATTTTCATCTAACTTCGCATACCTGTAACTTACTGTAAGTAAAGAAGATGGTATGTACTAATATTTTCTATTTGCTTGATAAATTGAAAGATGAACTTTTTTTTTTCTGTTGGCTTTTCATTTGTTATTTCAATGTAGTTAGGTTTCTTTCTGGCTTAAATATATTGGCCTCAATGTATTATTACCGTTTTTTGATCTTAGCCATATCAGCCTTCTCCCAAGCATCAGCTTTTGCCTGATCTGACCCTGCATATGCTGCACTTTGTCTTTCAGCTTCTGTCACTTGAGTTCCTTTTTTCACAACATGATGATCTGACTTTGGCGCTGCCCTTTTGGGTTTTGGTGCTGCACTATCTGGTTGACTGTAAAGTGTATCAGGTTTCGAGGAAGTTCCGGGTTGTGTGCGGCTAGAGCTGCCCATTTGATCGGAAAAACTAAGAGGTTTTTTAAATGATGACACACGTCTACGTTCCTTTTCATATGCAGCATTGATTTCTGGCACTTTGCTGTCTGCTCTTTCTGGAATTTTCTTTGAACCTTGACCTGTTAATTTCTGTTGGTTAAGCAGCGTCAAGCAGATTTCGTATTAATTAATTACCTGAATATCTGAATTCTGTCTTACGTCTCTAACCTTTACCTAAAAATTGTTTGGATAGGGTGCTGAGTTTTGAGGTTGAAGACGTTGCATCTCCCTTTCTGCTCTTGTCCTTGATCAAAGAGGATTCAAGATGTGTGCTGGTATTTTTCTGGCCACGAATGCTCTGTTCTTCAATCGAGTTAACAACATATGCAGCTGCTGCAACTCCAACTACTCGCTCTGTTCTATAGTTTGAATCATGAATCCAACTCGTCATATTGAAACCCGTTCTGTGTTCTCTTCTCTGCAAAATCCGAAATTAAGGTATGTTATCACAGCTTCAACTTTATGTCTTTTTCCTACCTTCAAAATAAATAAATAAATGAGAGAAAGAAATCCGTCTTTCTCTCGGAAATGGTGATGTAGGAGGAATGTAATTTTGAAGTTCATGTTTCATATATTCTACTTAATTCATTATCTGGGATTGAACACAAAATTTCATCTTAATTTGAATTAAAAAGAACACAAAAATCAAAAGGAAGGGTCAGAATTCAGAAAAGCACAGATGCATGTAATTTGTTATATGTTATGTTGGGTGAGATATTTACATATCTGTGTAGGTAATGTGCTTGGTGGCTACTGAAATTGCAGTTTTGCTGGCAAATTCTTCATTAATTGTTTCAGATGATTCCTTTGAAAGAAATACAGAAATGTGAAGGTATTTAAGCAATGAGCTGTTTTGTAAAAATGGTAGGGCAAAGGAAGAATTCACGGCAATGAGAGGAGCATGTAATGCAATGCAAGCAAGCATTGCTTAATTTGCATGCAAAAGGGGGGGGGGGTTTGGATATTCTTAAACTAAACCAATCTTCAGTCTACAACAAGATACGTATTCTGTCTCTTAACACTTATTTATTTCATTTCCCAAAAGTTGAAGAATCTTGTTTTTGCACCATCAGTTAGCTTTTCCCTTTTTTGTTCATTTCATTTTACCAGAGGCAAATTCAGTCATTGATTCACCACAAACCAATGTTGTTCACCCCGAAAAAAGGGTTCCATTATGTTAGGGATGTGCGCGGGACCCGAAATCGATGGATTCCAACTCGACCCGATCAGGTTGGACTTTTTTTAAAAAAAAATCGGGTTATGATCAAGTTGGGTTGGGCTTTTTTTAAAGATTATGTTCGGGTTGGATTTGGGTTTAGGGTTAAAAATACTCAAAGTCGAAAAAAATAAATTTATCTTATATGTTTAGGGATAACTGCAATAAAACTTCTCTATATATTATTTTTTAGTGAACAAAAAATAATATTTGTTATATATATATTATTTCGGGTCGAGTCGGGTTTGAGTTTTATTTCAAAAGGTAGGGTCGGGTGGAGGTTGTATAATTCTCGGGTCAGGTCAGGGTTGAGTGGAGGGTATATAATTTTTGGGTCGAGTCGGGTTGACCGGAGTCCGACCCAAACCCGACCTATGCCCATCCCTAATTAGGTCACTTTAGGGTTGAGTTTTTCTGTCATCGATTGTTATTTAGGATAAAAAAAAAGGTTATAGAATATTTTTTTCAATTGCCTATTTGATGGGTTCGTTTCATAGTGTAATTTTCAGTGTGTAACAGTAAGTGTTTCTATATCCTATTATAACTTAATTTTAATTAACTAAAAATATTCATAGCTAAATCTCACGAACTAGCACATTTGATTGATTGATTAAACTATTTATCTTTATTCTTTCATATTTCTTTAGATCATAGCTTTTAAACCCATCAGAAGCACTCTCATTTTTTACAGTTATCTTTTTCGTTCCCGTAGGATTGAGGTTAGATTTAGAATTTTTAAAAAGAAAATTAATTCTCACCAATTAGATCTTAGGTAAACTTCGCAAATGGTCACTAATGTTCCGGTAAGTGTTCGTTTTCATCATTAATGTTTGAAAAGTCACAAATCGGTCACTAATGTTATTGTTTGTTACAAAATAGCCACTTGATGTTAACAGTAATGGAAGCTGATGTTTGACCGATTGTTTGACCCTTCTTCTTCTTCTTCAAAATAATTAGCCCTCTTGAAAATAGGCTGTCACTGATCCTTGCCCTCCGGAGTCTCAAGGACCTACTGTCCATTTATTCAGTAAGGTTTTAACTGCCTCAGATACAAGCACCCATGGAGGGTTTTCTGTATCTTTAAGGACATGAACGATGCAACCTCGATCTAGGAATTGGTTGCTAAGGATCTTCATGGCTATGAATGGCGTTTTAAGCATATTTTCAGAGATAATATACTAACCTGATTTTTATACTCTTGGTATAAAAGACACCTCCAGCATTCATCAAGTGACACATTATTTATGTGTATCTGATTAAATGAGCAGGCCAACCAAGGAGGCATTTGCACACAACGGGATGGAGTACGTTTGTAACTTTAAAGAGATTAGTAGCTGGTGACGCTTTTATCTTTTTGAGGAAGATCTTTTTTGGTTTTTTTTCCTAATTGTTTGTGTTTGTGTACCTTGAACATGTTCCGACCTTTGGTGGTTTTGTTCATTCTCGCGCAGCTAATGAGCTTTTCTTTTAACACTTGGTTATCTAGATGGGAAAAGGACGAGCTACGTGTTGGAGTGAGGCGTGTTGTTCGGCAACATAGCATCATGCCATCGTCAGTGATTTCAAGTCAGAGCATGCAAGTTGGAGCGCTTGCAACTGCATCTCATGCGGTTTCAACACAAACCCTATTTGCTGTCTGCTATAAGCCGAGGTATGGTATTTACAGGTTTGCCAAAATTTGAGGTAAAAATTTTCTTATATTTTCTCGTGTAAAATATCAGGACAAGTGGGTTAAACAGATATTTGGAGTTAGTTAAAAATAAGTTTACCGTTAGCCTGAGATTTAAGATGAGGTTTGAAGAAGAGGATTCCTGCCATATGTGAAGACACTCTTTCCTTGTTGATGCCTCTTCTGTTTTGCTTTTATTTTTGATAACCAACTTATCCACCTTATTTGAACAGTATAGATATATCTTCAAAAGCATCAACTCCTTGGAATTATGGAGTTATGCATTCCCACGATATAGCGTCACAAAACATTACTGCTGAAGCAAAAGCAAATGAAAATCCTGTCATGTGGCACTAAACGCAGACAGAGATGAGCAGTAATTGCAGCTCTGTTACCAAGACTCCAAGAAGAAGTCGCCTATCTCCTCCAAACAAAAAATAATAATAATCAACATTTTGATCAGTTATGGCGATGTCATATCCAATTCTGAAAAAAAAATTAAACAAAAAAGAACGACCAAATAGTCGATAGAGAAGTTTGAAAACGTACCAAAAGATAGAGAAAATTGTGTCATGTAGGTATAGTTATTAGAAATAAAAAAATATGATATAAGAAAATAAGTGAAAAATAAAAAAAAAATATTGACAATCGACAATCAATACTAAGATTGATATCGCTATGGACAAAACTAATAAAAAAGTCCAAACGATACTCTAGGAAAAAAAGTGAAAACCTTAAAGAAAAATATTCAAGAAGCTTAATAATTGTCAGCATATCTATTGAAAATTTGATAATTATTTCATGTAACTATATATAATTATTAGGAAAATTCTACAACATTCTATGGGTATCCATGTGCATCATTAATCATGAGTATGATTAATTTAATTTATAAAATTTTAAAACTATAAATTACCAAATGTGTAATTATAAATTAGTTAAAAATTTAAATATAAATTATTTAAAATAAAATATTAATTACATTATTTTTTACAATCTTATTTTAAATAATAATTAGATCAAATATTAACCCCTAAATCAAAAAATCCTAAATTCTTTTATTTTACTTTGACACGACGATAGTAGTGACGGTAGTAGCGGTGATGACAAAGCGGTAGCAACAACGGCGACAATAGCGGTGATGGTAGTAGCAACAGCGGCAACGATAACAGTAGTAGTGGCAATGGCGATGACAACGACGACAACGACGGCAATGACGACGGCTTCAAAGCAAAAAAGATATGATTTTTTAATTTAGGAGTTAATATTTGATCTAATTATTATTAAGATTATAAAAAATAATGTAATTAATATTTTATTTTAAATAATTTACGTTTAGATTTTTAACTAATTTCTAATTATACGTTGAGTACTTTATAATTTTAAAGTTCTTAAATTAAATTAATAGTGTTCATCGTTAATAGTGTTCATCGGTACTCGTCAAACGTGACAGAATAATCCTAATTATTATATATAATAAATTATTATGGATGTAGGTAATATTATCGTAATCAATAAAAAATATTCTTTTAATTTCTTTAATCTTAATTTTCTTTCAATTTTTTTGAATTAAATAATTTTCTTTCATTTAATTCTATATTATATAATAAATAAATAAACACTAAATCAAAATCATAACAATTGTTATTAGCTCTAACAGTATCATTAATAGCTACATAGGACTTTAATCTAAAATATAATTTCTCAAAGCAAAACATAACTTTCAAACGGAATTTTTGTTTGAAAAATACAACTGTTTGAGGATTAATTTAGGATATAAACCATTTACTATAACATGCATATAACTCGTTGCGAGAGAATAACGAATTTCATAAAATATAATAAATTAAAACTCGTAATTAGAAAATGATGTATTTTATATAATTTTTTTAATTCATATGACGATTTTTATTTTTAATATATTTTATAAAAAAAAATTGACAAATTTTACGTGCATAGTAACAAATGGCTTATTTTTTAAAAAAAAAAATTGCCCACAATATTTCTAATTTTTACTGTAACCTCGTCTATAGATTTTATTGTAAATTTTTAAACAATTTATTAGAATCCACATCACCCTAACTTTTTTTCCGATTAATTAAAGTTTTATTGAATATTGTAAATTGGAAAAGTAGGGGTGAGTATTTGATCGAGACGAGTCGATTTAAAAAATTTTGAGTTATTCGAGTAGACAATTCATATTTTATAACTCGAACTTAACTTGAATTTTTTTCTAGTCGAGTTATTCGAGTTTTTGTACTGATTTTATTATAATTGTTTATAGTATTATGACAATTATTTGTTCCATTTTTTACTTTCTCCGACCATATAAGATATATATATATATTATATTTTTTTCACATTATAATGTTATTAAATATATCAAATATAATCTAAAATTATGAAATATATTCATAATATTATATTTTAAAGAGATTGTTTTGAGGGTAAAATATTGATGAGAGTATAAAAGAGTTAAGGAATTGATGAGAAGAAAAAATTTGTAAATAATTGTAGTCAAAAGACCATATTAAGTAAAATGCAAAGTTAAGGGACTAATAAAAAAAGAGTATATTTTTAGAAAAAAATATCAATTGAAGTTACATTGGTATTCTATTGCAGTATATGAACATTTAGTTCAAAGTTGATAAAAAAATAAAATAAATGATGAAATATAGTAATAAGAAAATTATAAAAAAATTAAGGACTAAATTGAAAAATAAAAAATTTATTATCAAAAAGAAGAATTAAAAATACATATGTATTATACGGTGATTTAGGAGTATGTAGTTCAAATTTAGTAAAAAAAATGGACTTAAAATGAATGAGAAAATTGAATAAATATTGAAATCATATACTAAATCGTAAAATTGTCAAAATACTTATTCAGATTTTTTATTTTTGAGTAACTCAAAATTTCAAAATTTAAACTCGATTCGAACTCGAAAACTGAATTTATAATTCAAGTTGATTTGAATAAATAACTCAAATAACTCGATTCAAATAACACGAAATTAAAGTTTTTTTAATTTTTCGAATCGAGTCGTATTGTAAACACCTAATAAAAGCCTGAGCGAAATCCATAAACGATTTCAGAAATACACCTTTGCTGTTGTAATTTGTAAAACTGAGTTGCTGGAGGAACTCATGTCAAGCAGTAGCAAGAGATGCCTAAAACTTTTGGAGAAATGCAAGAACATGAAGCAACTAAGTCAAGCTCATGCCCAAGCAATCACGTGTGGTCTCGGCACCAATACCTTTGCTTTAAGCAGGCTCTTAGCATTTTGTTCAAACCCAGAACATGGGAGCCTTACCTATGCCTGCAACCTCTTCAAACACATTCATGAACCCACAATTTGCATCTGCAACACCATGATCAAAGCTATCTTTCTCAAAGGTGAAACCTTTGAAACCCTCCAATTATACAGCACCATGTTGAGTAAAGGCATGTACCCTGATAATTATACTCTGCCCTTTGTGTTGAAAGCTTGTGCGAAGTTACAATTTTTCTACTCTGGGGAATTGATTTATGGTCATTGCTTGAAATTGGGTTTTGTGTTCGATACTTTTGTGGGTAATGCTTTGATGTCTATGCACTGTGGGTTTAATAATGTCAAAGTAGCTAGGTGCATCTTTGACGAGATTCCCAGGCTAGATGTTGTTTCATGGACAGTTATGATTTCTGGGTATGTGCAAATGGGTGATATTGAAACTGCAAGATTGCTTTTTAATGAGGCCCCAGTGAAGGATAGAGGAATTTGGGGGGCCATGATTTCTGGATATGTAAAAAACAATTGCTTTAAAGAGAGTCTTTATATGTTCAGGCTAATGCAAATGAGTGATGTAGAGCCTGATGAGGCTATATTTGTAAGTGTTATTAGTGCCTGTGCTAATATGGGTGCTTTAGATTCTGGGATTTGGATTCATAAATATATGGATCATCATCAAAAGTTCCCTTTGAGTCTTCGTTTGAGTACCTGTCTTGTGGATATGTATGCAAAATGTGGGAATTTGGATATTGCTAAAAAGCTGTTTGACGAAATGCAGCAAAGAGATGTTGTTAGCTGGAACGTTATGATTTCTGGGCTGGCGATGCATGGAGATGGAGAAAGTGCAATTCAACTGTTTAGGCAAATGGAGAAAGATGGAGTCAGACCTGATGACATTACTTTTATAGCTCTTTTTAGTGCTTGTAGTTATTCTGGTAATGCATTAGAAGGTCTGAGGATACTCGACAGAATGCGTAACGTGCATAACATCGAGCCTAAAAGTGAACATTTTGGGTGCATAATTGACCTACTTGTCCGGGGCGGACTCTTTGAAGAAGCTAATCAAATAATTCAAACTATGCCGGATTCAAGCAATCCCTCTGATGAAGCTATTGCCTGGAGAGCTTTGTTGAGTTCGTACTGTAGTAGCAAACAAACCAAACTGGCTGAGGTTGCCGCTGAGAAGCTCATGCAACTAGAAGATCATAGCGGCGTATACGTTTTACTCTCGAATCTATATGCATCCTTCGGAAAACATTATGATGCCAAACGAATAAAACAGATGATGAAAAGCCGAGGAGTGAATAAGGCACCGGGTTGCAGCTCTATCAAAATAAATGGGGAAGTTCATGAGTTCATTGCTGGGGAGAACAGCCACCTACAAATGGAGGAAATATACTTGATTTTGGAGAAGCTGGACAAGCAATTACATTACACAGGTCCGAGCCCTTATTCATAGCAGCAGGTACTGTCGAGCATAACGAATATAACTAGCAAACAGCTTCTTCTTCTTCTTCTTTTTTGAGGAGGAGAGGTATACTTACAGCCGAATGGCATTGCGAATGAGGAGTCTTGCGATCAGGCATCTGTTAAAGAATGAATACAGGAATAGCATAAACATGCTAATAGCTTGTTGCCTGATCTCCTCTTCTCGGTTCAATGTTGGTGATTTAAGCCTGCATTTTGCCATTCCTTATTTTGGCCAATGGCAAATTGTCTGTTGCTTCTGTCTATCGTGGAAGAAACTAATAATCTTCTCTTTCTTTTTAAATGACTCAATGTAAACCTGTTTATTTCCATTGCTAGAGAACTAGATGAATCAGTGTCTTGACAAATATAATCAAAATTTCTATAGCTGATATAAACAATAAAGAATTTTATATAGCTCGTTAGACTCTAAACTAGGAACTCTGAGTCAGCAAGTTCCAGGACTTTCGGGACACCGATGGATTTTGCTCCTTTCTGGAACGAATTTCCCGCAATGTACCTGTAAACAAGTTTGATAGATTGTCAATTAATAGACATTAAAAGAATCGTAAGTTAATAGGAAGGGAGAGTTGAAGAAAACTTACATTTCTTTCAGGAAGGGATGCTTATAGAGTTTTTTCAGGAATTCTTCCTACAAATTGATTGTGATCTAAATGCCTGCCGGTCCAATTAGATCGAATGTAGCATATGAATGCATCAATGCATAATTAGCTCAGAAAGCTGGAATAAAGCACAAATGCATTGCAAATGAATCAGCAATTTCGAACAAACTTACAAAGATGTCAACTGTGGGAGATGAACAATGCTATATGGTATTTCTCCTGAAAGTTAGTAGGATAGGTACCTGCAACCAGTATATCGAATAACGAAAATTCTAGTTAGACCAGAATATTCTATCCGGTTAAAAGGGTATCCTAAAACCAGGCGAACTCCATTCCTATATCCCCATAGGGTAAAGCTGGTTAAAGCACTTACAAGATTTCCAAATTGGTCAAGCTTGCTAGCTTCGCGGGAATTCCTCCCGTTAAGTAGTTATTGTTTAGGTAACTACAGGAAAATTTGCTGCAATTAGCCATTCATTCAACATGCAAAAAGTTTTAACACATGAACTTACAGGTTTCGAAGCGACGGGAAACAACCATACAGACTTACAAGTTGTTTTATAGTACCCACCAAGTGATTGTTCCCGACATCCCTACGAACATACGGTCTTAAAATCCGAGGTACCAGCGGAACATATATCTTTAGTTCCAAGTTTACCAAGGAACGTTATATATTTGAGGAGATCAGTTATCTTACAAGTGGTGAAGTTTCTCCAAAGTGCCTAACTCTGCCGGAATCTGGCCCGAAAACCGGTTTTGATGCAGATGTATATAACGAAGCTCCGGTAGACTCGCAAGCTCCTTCGGAATCTCCCCTTTAAATTTGTTGAAGCTCATATACCTAATCAATTTTCCGATTAGTAGGAAGCACCAATCTTGATTATCATAATGTGAAAAAAATATTTCCAAGTGCTACTTAGTGTGAAGCAAATTAAAAACAAACTAACAGAAACGAGGAAGAGAGGCATTTTCTTTATTGATATGGCATACTTTCTTCACCTTTACACTTGACATATATAGCACAATTATAACAACCTCTTAACAAACTAACCACCCTAAACCGTTTCCTAACAGCTTCCCTATGATGGCTAGCCACATGCATGACCATCTACATGCATGACATGCACGAGTATTCTAGATTATTCTAGCTCACGTGCACACACAGCTTATACCTATCTCAACATTCTCTCCACTTCTTTCTTCTCCTCTTCTTTAACAAGCTAATACTTGTAATTTGCCACGAAACTGCTCAAATGCAGCCTTGGTGAGAGGTTTGGTTAATCCATCCGCTATTTGAAACTCAGCAGGGACATAGCTAACACGAAGAGCACCAGCTGCAATTTTCTCACGAATGAAATGCACATCGAGTTCAACATGTTTAGACCGAGCATGACAAACCGGGTTCACGCTCAAGGCTACAGCACTCGTGTTGTCGCACCAAATGACAGGTGCCTCTTGTAGAGACAACCCAAGGTCATACAGCAGCGCCGTAAGCCAGGTCACCTCTGCAGCAGACTCAGCAACGCTCCGATATTCTGCCTCCATGGTTGATCGAGAGACAGTTTTCTGCTTCTTGGAGTTCCATGCAACCAAACACTCTCCAAGGAAGACACAATATCCAGACATGGATCGACGATCACTGGCATCACCAGCCCAGTCAGCGTCAGAAAATGCTTTGACACACAGCCGAGCATCTCCTTTTGAGAACACCAACCCATGATCAAGAGAACCTGCTAGGTAACGTAGAATTCGCTTAACTGCTGCAAGGTGACTCGTTCGCGGAGACTGCATGAACTGAGCTGCTTTGTTAACTGCAAACGCAATATCTGGTCTTGTGTGACAAACATACAGGAGAGCGCCCACAATACTCCTATATTCGCGAGCATTAGACATTAGATCACTCGGTTGACCATCAATCTTCGTGGCCACCATGGGAGTACACACAGATGTGGCTTGACTCATGTTGGTTTTCTTCAGTAATTCACATATGTAGGCACGCTGACTTAACAGCAGTCCAGCACCAATCTTCTTGACCTCTATTCCCAGAAAATATGAGAGTTCACCAAGGTCCTTAATTGAGAACCGTAGGCTAAGCAATTGAACGACCTGATCAATAGCTGAACCCGACGTTCCGGTGATGATGATATCATCTACATACACCAAAGCATAAGTACTGCAATCGTCCTGGACTCGAACAAACAGAGAGACATCAGCCTTCGATTCCACAAACCCAAGCTCTAAGAAGCAAGCTTTAAGCTTGTCATTCCAGTTCCGAGGAGCTTGTCGAAGGCCATAGAGGGCCTTCTGCAGCTTACAAACCAGTGGAGTTCCATCTTCAGCACATCTCTCAAATCCAGGTGGTTGATGCATGTATACCACTTCGCTCAAGTCACCATTCAAGAATGCATTGTTGACATCCACCTGTCTCAACGCCCAGCCTCTTGCAACTGCCAAGGCGAGAAGAACATAGACTGTGGAGAACTTTACAACAGGGCTGAACGTGTTCGTGAAATCGAACCCTGGAACTTGAGTGAACCCTTTTGCCACCAACCGCGCCTTATATCTATGCACAGTGCCATCTGAATTTCTTTTAATCTTAAACAACCATTTACAACCGACCACACTTCTATCAGCAGGTAGAGGAACAAGGCTCCATGTGTCATTCTTAATCAACGCAGAATATTCATCTTGCACCGCTTCAGACCACGGGCCAGACTGAAGTGCTTCTTCAATCGTTGCTGGGACAATATCATCAAAAAACGTGGTGTATATTTTTGGTCGAAACACACCACACTTACTTCTAGTCAACATAGGGTGCCCAGTACCAACCACATCGCTTGTTCTTTCATCTGTCGATGGTTGCACTTCCAGGTCGACTTCACCAGCACCAGGTCCGACAGATGTAGCAGCAGACTCATGGACATCACTCGACTGTGCAGAACCGTGCCCAGAAGCATCTGCAGACAAGTCAGCAAGTCCCGACTGTCGAGCAGAAGTAGCACACAGTTTGCTAGCATCAGCTACTATGTCAATGGCTTGGCTCAGCTGCGAACGAACTCCCAATCGTTCAGTAGAACTGTGCTGAGCAAATGGGAAGCACCACTCATCAAATTTCACATGTCGAGACACTACAACTCGTTTATTAGGTGTGAGACATAAGTAACCCCTGTGTTGAGGACTTGGCCCCAAAAACGTGCACGGTTGCGACCGAAAGTCAAGCTTATGACTGTTGAACGGTCTTAGGTGGGGAAGCATCGACATCCAAATACTTTAAGCGAGCCATATTCAGGCGTCTTGTTGAACAAACACTCGAAGGGGGACTTTCCAGCTAAAACCCTCGTAGGCAACCTGTTAATTAAGTGAACTGATGTTACCACAGCATAGGACCAATAGCTGATCGGCATGGACGCCTGCGCAAGTAGTACTAAAGCCAGTTCAACCACATGGCGGTGTTTGCGCTCCACGACACCATTCTGCTCTGACGTGTGTGGGCAGGTAACACGATGAGATACACCAGCTTCTGCAAGCACACGCGACAGCCGACGATATTCACCGCCCCAATCGCTTTGTACTGCCAGGACTTTCAACCCAAATTGCGTTGCAACGAACTGCTGAAATAGGAGGAAGGCCTGTGTAGCCTGAGACTTATCCTTAAGCAAATACAGCCACGTGTGTCGAGTGAAAGCATCAACAAAACTGACATAATACCTAAACCCGTTTGAAATAACAGGCGATGGTCCCCAAAGATCAGAAAAAATAAGCTGAAAAGGAAAGTCATACTTAGTAGTTGAATCCGTGAAGGGGAGTTTGTGACTTTTTCCCATATGACAAGCAATACAATTCTCATTAATCTTTTGTTCACAGTTTACATCAATGAGTTTGCAAATTTGCTCGAGAGTGGCATGAGCAGGGTGCCCAAGACGCCTATGCCACAAGTCATACAAATGATTGGAGGAATCAACTTTGTTTGCTACAAAACAAGCACTCTATTACAACTATCATCAACTTGAAACAGATATAAACCATCATTCTCCTTCCCATGCAGCAATACATCACCAGTAGCTTCATCACGAACACAGCAGCGTGATGCATGGAATTCAAAATACACCGCGTTATCCTTAGCAAGCTTCGAGACGGATAGAAGATTTTTAGTTACCTTAGGTACATGAAGAAGATCATTTAATTGTAAAGCTCGAGTAGAAGAGCACAAACAGATTTACCAGTAGCTTGAATTGGCAGTAAACTACCATTACCAACCAGCAATTTACCTGGTCCTGAGAACTCTTTTGAGTTGAAGACCTTGGTTGAATCAGCAGTCACGTGGTGCGTAGCTCCAGAGTCTAGCACCCAGTGATCCCTCGTGCTAGAAGCGATATGACTTTGCGGCTGTGACGAGTAAGCGCATCCATCAAGAGTAGACGGTTCCAGGCTGGTGCAGTTCACTGAACCCGAACCACCACGGCTTACAGCTCTTTCAGCCGACCGACCAGTAAATGACTGATCGAACCTGTACCAGCAGTCAACGACAAGATGCCCATTTTTCCCACATAATTGACATTGAACACGAGGTCGACCACGGCCCCGACCTCCAGTCCGACCTCCAGCGCTGGTTCCAGACCTGCCAGAAGCCCGATCATGATACACGTGACTTGCAGTCTTCAAGCTAGAGTCAGACTGAACAACGTGAGCACTCATTGGCAGAAGTTCTTCTTGAGCGTCAAAGCCCGCAAGCTGTGTTTCTGCATCGATCAACATCGAGCAGACCCTATCGAGAGATAAGGCGTCTTTCATAGTGGTGATGAAGGCAATATACGGGTGGTACTCTCGGGGAAGACCTTTGAGAATACTTGCAACCTGTTCGGCCTGAGGAATAGCACTGTCACAGGAATCTAAAGCATCGCACACCTCTTTGATGCGAGTGAGGTACATTCGCATGCTGTCACTGCCTTTCTTGAGTGACTGAAGCTTGTAATGCAGGCTGATGACTGCTGTGGTTGACCGGTTCGCGAAGAACTGCAACACCTTGCTCCAGACCGCCGCTGCCGTCTCCGCTCCAACAAACTGGGACAGCAAGTGTGGGCTGATCGTGGACAATAACCAGGAAGCAAGCGCACTGTCTTGTGCAACAAACTCCTCATGCAACTCATTCACCACCGTATCACCATTCTCAGCCTCAATTGTCTCAGGAGGAGAACGTGCCACGCCTGTTAGTAACCGCTCCAGCCTATGGCTGCGCACAGTCAGCAAGATTTGCTGTTTCCAGAGTAGGAAATTAGATTCATCGAGAATGATGTTAATTTTTTTGTTTGTGAAGGTCTTTCCAACAGAAGTCTCCATGATCACGAGCTTAGCACAGCAAGCAAGAATCCTCAGAAACGTCCGGCGTCTGATACCATGTGAAGCAAATTAAGAATTGCAGAAAACAAACTAACAGAAACGAGGAAGAGAGGCATTTTCTTTATTGATATGGCATACTTTCTTCACCTTTACACTTGACATATATAGCACAATTATAACAACCTCTTAACAAACTAACCACCCTAAACCGTTTCCTAACAGCTTCCCTATGATGGCTAGCCACATGCATGACCATCTACATGCATGACATGCACGAGTATTCTAGATTATTCTAGCTCACGTGCACACACAGCTTATACCTATCTCAACACTTAGAGATATGTTAGACTCTTAAGCTCGCCAATTTCAGAAGGAATAAAGTCTTGTAGCTTATTCCATCTTAAATTACTACAACAAAAACATATTATTAAATAAATTACATGAAAACCCATTATCTCATAATCTAGATTTAAAATAAAAGAACATAAAGTATTTTAAGGCGTTTGAGCCGCCCGATTTGAGGTGGAATCGGTCCGGTCAGCTTGTTATTATGCATATCACTGTAATAAGCAACAATTTAATAGCTTTAAATTCACTCGAAAAAAGAAGAAGAATGAATTCGTTAATGGTAACTGCTAAGGAAAAGGTTAATTATATTCGTACAGTCTTGTCAGATCGAACTAATTTGTGACCGGAACGGGAAACGGCCCCACGATCGACACCGCATAAACTTCCCTGCAAATTAAAACGAAGCAAGATTATTTTAATTTTAAAACAGAGGAGAAATGAAATTGATTAGAAATTGAAAAGTGGAGATGAAAATTGAGAATTACAATCCGGTGACAACTCTATAGTCACCCATGAGAGTGCAGGTGATGCCAGACCACGGCCGCGGTTTCCGTCGCCGCAAGGATCGTCAGTCGTCACCGACCAAGCGTAAACCACTCTCCACCCTAACGACAACTTTATTTCGTTCAATGCTCTAACTGCAATAACGAAACAATATCCCAAGAAAAAGCCATCAAAATTATTATAAAAAACAGCTTTAATTAAGAAACGAGGAAAATTACCGTCGCGTTTGAGAGTTTTACAGGAGGAAAGGTTGAGAAACGGAAAGAGAAGGAAGAGCGGAGTGAATAAACGCGCCATTTTCCCCTGTTCTTTGTATTTAAAATAAAATGAGGAATGGAGAGTGAAGGAGGAGATCATCAAAACTAAAAAGAAACAAGGAAATTTTTGGAAAAATGAGTTCACAGATCTTTTGCTGCAAGTGTGTAGGATTCAGTTAAGTTTGGTAAGCCGTTTGTTATCTTATATTTGGGTAAACTACACGATTGGTATCCCATCTATCACTTCTGTTCCTCTTTGGTCACTTTTGTTTCAAAATCATACCTCATATTATGTTTTAGTTTCATTTTGGTCACCCGCCGTTAAAAAATTAACGATGATACTGACGTATCACCATAAGGTAATACCAAATTATCGTTAATTGTTTTTTAAAAATGTCACATCAATAGTTCTATTAATTTTTTAACGTGAATGACCAAAATGAAATCAAAATATAAAATTAGGTATAATTTTGAATCAAAAAATAGTTTGATGACCAAAATAGAACAGAAGTGATAGTTGAGGTAATAACATGTGGGTTGCCTCATTATTTTTTAGGGTAAACTTTGTATTTAATCATCCAACTATAGTTTTGGTATAATTTTGAAAAAAGAAACAGTTAAGTGACCAAACCGGAACCACAGTGATAGTTTGGTTGCTAATCACATAGTTCTCCCTATTTTTTATTTATTGTAATTTCCTGATCGGTTCAGATGAAGACCTGTGGCCTCGGCTTTTTACAACATCGGCAGCTTGTGAGGATTCCACGTGGCACTTTTCTGTTTGAATCGTTCGCTCTTCCTTAATTAAGGGCCTAACCAAAATTCAATTATCCTCAACTTTTTTACGATGCTTAAATTATGTTAATTATTAAATTATCAAAAAATTGTTATTGCATTCAATATTTATTATATTTAATAAATAATATCACGTTAATATTTAAATTAATAAATTTTAATTAATTATATATAGTTGGGATCCAAGAATTTAAGTTTGTAAGTCCAAATTCCAATTATATAACTGTTACTCTTAGTGGTCAATCTGAAAATTTCTATGTAAATCTCAATTAAATCTTAAGTATGCCTTAATCCTGGACTAGATGAGCCACTTTACGATCTAGTTGATAAAAGGATTATAATTTTTTGAGATCTCGATTCGAACATCAGTAATATAAAAAGATATAAACATCGAATATATACCGTAATATTGAATATGAAAATTAGGATTATGAAAAGGCAAAAAGTTGAAACAAACATATAAACAGTCATAGATTCAGACACAAGAGTCCATGAACGTATTTAATGCAAAACCTACATGCCACCAATCCAAACCTCCATTAATGAAAGTCATGGGTTTCTCTTGATCATCTTCCCAACCATATATATATACCCTATTCATTAAACTAGCACCGACGGTACGCCATTTCCTTGCTTGTTTCCGCTGCCTGCAAATTTCTTCCAAAAACAAGTATGGAAATAGCAATCGTCCTTCGTCTAAAGAAACATAAACACCAGTGGGAAAAAAAATTGAAAAGCTGAAACAATGAAATAACTAATGATTTAATTACTACTGCTGAATCTTGGATCGATGTATTCAGTTGTGAAGAGGGTTGGGCCCCGAGGGGACCAGTCTCTTCTCCACACCATATCTTGGGTCGATTTCATCACCTTCGGAGGGCGGCGGCGGCAAGAGAGGCTGGGAATTGTGGAATCTTCGGAGCTGAAAACACAAAGAGCGTTGCTCTGGTCGAGAGAAAGAATCACAAGAATGGCGGCTTCTTGGGGTCGGCGGCGGAGTTGAGGCCGCCTGTGGGAGCAAGAGGAGGAAGAGGAGTATAAAGAAGAAGAAGAGGCGGGAACAAGACATGGCGGAGAAGTAGGAAGTGATTATCTGATTCAGTTTTTGGGTTAGAGAGACAAAATGATGTCAAGGAGAGAAGGAAAGATGGTGATGGGAGGGAGGGTTTAAATGCTAGGCAAGTCCCACATGGAAACGGGGGAACCAATTTTCATCAAATTTGTCACGTAATTTTGTAGGTGTAGGGCCACACTTATATTCAAAGTGATTCCAACATAACTCAAATTCTATTTGCTTTAAATTAATTAAAATTTTAAAAGTATATTTTATTTTATATTAATTGAGAATATAAAATATAATTTGAGTAAATTTCTTAGGAGTGTCAATTTAACATGAATTCGACGGATATGACCCAATCCGATCTAAATAGAAGCGATTTAAAAAAAATCGAGTTCGGGCAAGTCAGGGTGAAGTGTAAAAAATTTTAGGTTCAGGTCAAAATCGGGTTTGAAGTTAAAAAAAAAATTGACCCGACCCAACCCTAATAATTTTAATTATGTTATACTATATGTATTAACTTATTTACAAAAATACCCCACACACACATTATAAGGTTTCATTTTCATTGTACTTCTGTTCTCTTTTTTTTCTTTTTTCTGCCGCATACTTCATCCATTCTCTTTTTTTTTTTCTCTCTTTCAAGTTTAATCTCTATCACTCAAATGTTTGATGGTTAAAAACATTTAACTTGCTTTCTGTTTCATTGTCCAGATGTTCTCTTGGTCTCTTCGATTTTTTTTTTGTTCGAAAAAAAAATTAACTAAACTTTGAAAAATATTTACTATTCTATTAAAAAATCTGACAATTTTTAGTCATGAGTCTTTTAAATCATGTTCGGATGGGTTATGGTTCCATTTTGTCGGGTCGAAGTGGGAACGGGCAAAACTCCTACCCGACTCGACCCATTGTCATCCCTACTCACCATCAACTAGATTCTTTTTTTAGTAAGAGTAAGTATTTAATCAAGTTGAGTTAAAAAAATTTAAGTTAATCAAGTTGACGAGTTAAATTTTATCATTTAGTCTTTAATTAAAATTTATGAAATTTTAGTATTCAAAAATATTTATTTGAAATTCTATTCAAATTTAATTTTTCAATTATTTGTGGATGAATCTGTCCCGCTTGACGAGCACTACTAACGATGAACATCATTAGTTTAATTTATAAAAAAAATTAAAATTCTAAAAGGGTTAACGTATAAATTAGTTAAAATTTCAAAAGTAAAATATTTAAAATAAAGTAGATTTTTTTTATAAAAAATACCAAAAACATTTTGGGTGCGGGTGGGTCTGATGATGGTCTCAATATGCATGGGGGTATCTCTAACTTCGACTCTAGAGTATCCATCCTCAGCAAGTTCCCTTGTCAACACCTTGTTGAGCTCCACAAAGAAGACTCCATGGCAAATAAAGAATGAATATACAAAAACCAGTTGGAGAAAGATAGAAGAAAAGATAAAAGAGAGAAGATTGGAGACGATGCCTTTCGTTTTTTGCTGATTTGAGCAGCAGTAACCATGTTTTGTTTTAGAGTTTAGGTGGAAGAGGCACCAGTGACACATGGCACCACTTGATTTGAGGGTTAAGTTTATTTTAATTTATTAAAATTATGATCAAATTGATAGAATATATAAGTAACAATGATCAAATGTGTAGTTATACCAAATATTTTAACTGTCACATCAACATCTCAGTTAAATACTAACGGCAAGTGGCTTAATTGAATGCATTTAAATAGTTGAGTGACCTAATTGACAAAGTTTCAAAAATGATGGTTAAAATAAAAACGGCAAGTGACTTTATTTTAAATAATTTACTTTTAAACTTTTAACTAATTTATAATTATATGTTAAGTCCTTCAAAATTTTAAATTTTTATAAATTAAATTAAAGGTGTCCATCGCCAGTAATGTTCATCGGTGCTCTTCGAGCGTTGTAGAATTTTCCATTATTTATAATGTTATGTTATTAATTGGTTCTTATTTAAATTATTCTTTCTAACTATATCCAATATACATATAATTTTTTTTATTGAGATTTAGAATATTATTTAATAAATTAAATATCATATAAAAGTATATAATATATTATAATATTATTACTTAAAAGGTAAAAATTTAAAATTTCACTAAACAAGTTAGAACAAAACAACACCAAACATATTTTGGCCACCACAAAAAATATTAAAAACAACAATTTGCAATATAATATTTTATTTTTAGGTATTATTGATAAATCAGATAAATTAAGGATAAAATTTTCAATTGAATTATAAATGTCTTGATAATATAAATGGCACAAAAATTAATTTTATTTATCGAAATTAAATTTTTATCATTTTCATGTTTTGAAGTTCTCCCATACGCTCATCAAGATTGATGACACCATTGATTTTTATTAATTGGATTTTACAATTAGGTTTGCGTTGGTTTAAGTGGGTAAAATTGATCCGAACTAGGTCATCTCCAAAATTAATTTGGGATTTATAGCAAATGTTGTAGTGCAAGACAAACTCGTCGTGCCTACATGACGAATTTGTCCAAATAATATTTTTTATTCAAATTGGTCACGTCGAGATGATAAGTTTTAAAAAATATAATTTTTTATTATAATTTTTTCACATAAAGTGACAAATTCAAATGAAAAAAATATATTTTATTATAACTTGTCATGCCCACGTGACGATTTTTAAGTTAGTTTAACAAATGTCGTAGTTTTCAAAATATAATATCTAGTATCGTATTTAGCTAAATAATTAGTATGCCTATGGTATTGGGCCAATTTTAACGGTTTAGGTGGGCTAGAGGTTGTAATTAGGCCGATTGGGTAAACTTATGGGTCATAGGTATTGCACTTAAAAAATTAATTATTATGTGATTCATTTTGTAATATTAAATTCTAAAAATATACAAGGGTTAAATTATTAAGTCAGAATCATTAAATATTTAGTGCTGTAATGAAAGGATAAATTATACTTTAAAATAAAATTTTAAAATATAAAATTAAATTGTTAGAAGGAAAGCTTGAACTAAACATGAAAAATAATGTATATATATATATATTAAATCATACATAGTAATTTAATTACGAAATCTTGTTAATATGGACTTATCCGATCCAAAACCCCGTAAATTAACATGTTGCTCTTACTAGGGGTCTAAACGAGCCGAGTCGAGTATTATTGAGCTAGACTCGACTTGAAAACTCTGAAATGGAGCTCGACTCAATTCGAAAACTCGCGAGCTTAAAATTTTTAAGCTCGACTCGAACTCGAAATCCTGAACTGAAACTCGTGAGCATCTCGAAAAGGTTCGAAATGAAAAAAAAAACTTAAACTTAACAAGATTGAATTCTCAAACTCGAACTTGAACCATAAATACATGAAAGCCTTATTGTCTTAAAAAAAATTAACACATAAATATTAATATTATTAATAATTTATTTAAAAATAAATAAAATTTTAATATATTATATTTTCGAATTGCTCACGAGCTTTTCGAGTCGAGTATTAAATAGCTCGTTTCGACTCGTTAAGAATTCGAGTCATGCTCGACTTCGAGTCTAGTCCATTCAATTATTTATCGAGCCTTAACTGAGTCGATCTCGAATAGATCACGATCTGTCTCGTCTCATTTACAACGATCTCGAATATCTCACGAACTGTCTTGTATCAGCCATGCTCTTACGAGATTATCTTGGAAATTATCCTTTTTGCATTCACGCGCGTGGGTTCCACGCTCCTTTCTTTCTACGCCTTCCAACGGCAGTTACACGTGCTAACGCCGTTATTACTGTCATGCGCGAGCAAAACCTCTGAATTGAGAAAATTTGAATAGAAATAATTTTAAGTTATAATTTTATAAATTTGAATTTATTAAAAAAATTAAATTTAAATCAAGTTATAAAATTTAATTCGAAATAACATCATAATATTATAAATATTTATAATTAAATTTAAATAAAAACTTAAAATTTTAACTTAACTCAATTCAAGAAAATTTTAAATTAATTTCAAATTATAAAATAAAAAATCTTAAATTCGAATAATTCAAAATCATTTTACTCGAGTAGATCATCCCTAATTATATTTTCCTAAATTCTACTATACCTCTCTACTCGCGCGTTCGTTTCAGTTTTTACTCTGCGCTTTAGATTTGGATTGACGCGACCCTTAAAATAAAAGCAAATGGAAGAACCGGGCGTCCCTTCCCAGCACTAAAACTTAGACACCAAAACCCTACATCTCTCTCTCTCTCTCTCCCCTTCAATTCTTTTCTTCTAGATTCTGTTTGGATGCTTTGAGTCCTTCGTTATGTTTTTTCCTTCCGTTTAAGAGGATGGAAGATCAAGAGGGAGGCGATCCACTCAATGAATTTACTAACGGTTCGAGCTGGGCACTCGCCGGAGGAACTGACCCAGTCTCCGACACCGTCAATTACTTCTTCGATAGGGAGAGCGCTATACTGAGCGAGTTCGATTGGAATCTACAACCTAATCATACTGAAGAGATTGAGCGGTGCGATGAACTTGACCGGACCGACACCAGACCTGATTTGGCGAGAACCTTCAGCGTTTCAGAGAGCTCCGCTGGCGCTGCTGCTTGTGGTTCGGGTTCAGTGGCGTCTTCGATCCCCGGCGGGTCAGCTGACGTGTTGATATCGAATCCATTGATTCCTTCAAGCTCCAGAGAGGATACGCTGGAGAAATCTACTGGCTCCGGCGGGAAGCCGTCCGAGATACCGTGAGTAATGAACAAAATACCCGTCATCACTGACGAAAATAGGAAAAAGAATTGGCATGAAAACTGGAAAGAAATGTCCCTTTTTGTTTCTCTTTTGTTTCTCCTTGTTTGGGTTTTTTTTGGGGTCTGAATCATAATTAAGTACAGATGCAACAATAAAAACAACCGTATCAAAAGTCATGAAGAGAGAGAGAGAAGATGGGTGCAATCTTCGGTGTCCGTACACTGGATAACTGTCAAAAAAGCAGCAGCCTTTGTTTCATGCAAGTTGGGGGGCTAAGGCTAAGGCTAAGGTTAAGGTTACTTCGTAAATTTAGTGAATTCATAGGTGCAATTGAGGGAATAAAGATTGAAAAATAAAAGGGAATTCTTGGCTACTTATAAACGAAGTGGCCTTGAACACCGCAGCTATTAATGGGGTGTTTAGAAAAATCCCCTTTTTATTTTTCTTTTACCTATTTATTAACCCTTTCGGCTCTTATTTTCACGTTTCAGTTACGTTAATACAAAGGCAATAAGCATGAATATAGCTCGGAAAAAGCCCTATTTTTAGTGAAATATAAACCTTAACAGTATTGTTTCAATTATTCTTTTTCCTATGAAGTCTGTCTTTTGTTCTGAATTCATCCCATGAGATAAAGCAACGGATCCTTATTTTATTTGGAATTCTAGTGTTGAATCTTTGATGGGTTTTCTTCATTGTTTTTGGAATTTGGAAATGGTGTACTTAATTGTTTCATACTTACTAGGTTTTTGAAATCTATTCTTTGCCATTGCTCAGAGGCATGCATCTCATGAAATCATGGATTACTTTCTTCCAAATGCATTTCATGTTCAAGGCAAGTTGCTTGTGTTATTGAAGTAAAATTGTCTTTTTTACAACATCGATGGCTACATTAGTATCTAGTTTAGTATTGGCATGTTTGTTAGTTAATTGAAGCATATGCGTTAACATTCAAGCAAATCTCTTAATGTTTAGGATTTTCTGTTTCATTTTGATAGTTGTAAGTGGAAATTTGGAATATGTTTTTTCATTTTGTAGGAGTAAGGTCAGGTATAAGGGACAAAAGCGAATTCGACAGCCACGTTTTGCATTCATGACCAAGAGTGAAGTCGACCATCTTGAAGATGGCTACCGGTGGAGGAAATATGGACAAAAGGCTGTTAAAAATAGTCCATTCCCTAGGTAATTCAGAGAGAGAAAAAACTGACATGCTTCCCACTTTGATCTTTGTTATAGGGCAATGAGATTCCACCTGTTAATGATGCTTCTTGAACAAAGTTAAATACTTATTATTAAACCAATATTGTTAAAAAGGGAGATTCCATCAGTTCAGTAATATGTAATAGCTAGGACTCCCAATTTTCAAAACTTCTGATCTTAATTCAAAAAGGTCATGACTTGAAAGTTTCTGTCTAGAGTACCTAATGAGGATGTTGGTAAATTCCTTCTTATCTGACTCGGATTTCAATAATATAATAAAAAAGTCATACCTAAGGAAGTTTAACAGTTTGGACATTTATAAAGAAATTAGGCTATCAAATAGAAGGTGATAGCAAAATATTATTGCAGAGTTTGCAAGTTTAGATGAATTTTAGGTTTTGGGTTTGTAATAAGGGGGATTGATTGATATTCTGAGGTAGATCTAAGGTAATTTCATAGTGGTATGAGTCCCTTTGAGGATCCACTTATTTCCACTTTTAGTGATTTTTAAAATAAATAATCTGCTGTGGAAAAAATTGGATTGATGTGCATAATCTGATTTGGCAGGAGCTACTATCGCTGCACAAATAGCAAATGCACAGTGAAGAAGATGGTGGAACGCTCCTCTGAAGATTCTACCATTGTCATTACAACATATGAAGGTCAACACTGTCATCACAGAGTTGGATTCCCCCGTGGTGGATTCATCAACCATGAAGCTGCCTTTGCTGGTCAATTAGCGCCTTCAGCCTTTCAATTTCACTCTCCAGGGATACAGTTACACACTCAAATTCCTCCAAGCATAACACAGTCGAAGCAAGTAGTAGTAGATTCTCGTAAGCTGCCAGAACCATCCCCACAGTTCCCCACAGATGAAGGGTTACTTGGGGATATTGTTCCCCCAGGAATCCGTAACAGATGACGAGAAAGAGCTATGGTAAGCATATATAGCCTAAATTAAATTGAGTTTTCTTGAACTCTAACACACTCACCCTTGGCCTGGATTCACTTCGCTTGTCTATGTGCCTTATAATTTCTTGATGCTGCCTACTTTATTATATTCTTAACCGAGTTTCTGAAAGGGTCTATTATAGAAATGGGGTTTGATAATTGACGGAAAGCAACTTTAGCACTAGCGAAAAGACTTTTAATGACTGCTAGAATCTTCTCGATTGACGTTTTAGATACGTTATTAGTAAAGTTGTATTGTATTTGTACCCCATTTGAGATGAAAGGGTTATCACCAAAGGCTAAAGTTGTAGTATCTATGGTAAAATATTGCCTTTGAGTAATGCTAAAAAGCTTCTTTTCATTTTGGAACGTAATCACTAAAAAGCATATGATTAGTTGATTACGGTATATATTATGATGCTTGTCGATTTGGGAAAAATAGGCATTAATCAAAGAGGAGAATCCAAGTCCAACAACACAGTAAGATGCCGACTTAGTTTGTAGATTTTCTGTTTTCTTTTTTTACATTCGTCTTCTTTGGATTAGTAATAATAATAATAATGGTAATATATTTTTGAGTTTGTACATACAGGGATAGTAGGTGATTTGTATAAACTGAAGAAGGGGGCGTCTCCAGCTGACCCAGGTAAGATCGAAAGAGGCCAAGCCAAAGGCAATTAATTATTCTTCAACATGACAATATTTACTTACACAAAATCTGGCTCTCTCACAACTGGTATTGCTTCCAATTCTAATATATATATATATATATATGTTTGCATGTGAATATTGAAAATTCCTAGTGCTTTTTGTTTTGGGGGGTTGGGGGGTGTTGGTGTGGTAACTGTTTGCCCTTCGACCAGGTTTTCATGGATTCATACGTTACTGTAAATAATTAGATAGGGCCACTCCTTATTTGATAGGTAAGTTGCGTGGATTTCGATGTTGCTTCAGACTCGGTCTGTCAGCCGACAATGCTTTAAATCCCTTCCCCTAGGCCCCTACTTTTTCACCTTTATTTCACCCCCTAGATTATGACATCGACTCCTTTTTTTTTTATTAGTTTTTGGGTAAATTATGTATTTTGTATTTAGACTATAAATTTTGATCTATTTTAGTACTTAGACTTTTATTTTTTTAAATTTTAAAGTTAAGCTTCTAACAAGTGTATTAAAATGAAATAAAAATTAAACTTTAGGTATAATTTATCCATTTTAACGTTAAGTTTAAGTGCTACATCATATCAAAACTGATAATTTAGATGCTAAAAATATAATTTATTCATTTTTTTCATTTAGGGTTACAGTATATATTATTTTATTTTTGGGATATTAATTTCTTCTTTCTTTACCACATAACCCGGAAAGTACAATCTCTAAAGCATGCATATCTTATTCCCATTCATTAATGTGAAATTATATTAAAAAAACTTATAACAGTATTTTATTCTTCTTAATTACAAAATTTTTTTATTTGATTGAAGTTTTGGATTTAAAAATGTTAATATTATGTTTTATTAATAAATTTTATTATTAATTGTTATTATATTGCCATATTTGCTCTTGACTGATATGAAATTAAAAAATTAATAAGAGTTTATTTATCATTTAAGTGAAAAAAGTAAAAAAAATGTTAATGAACTTATGATACTAATAAGAGTTTAAAATTTATTGTGGAGAAAGTTTTGTGTCAATTTTTTATATTGATTATATTTGATAAATTAAAATTTGAAAAGAGATCGTTAAGAAATTTTCTGTTGAAAGTTTTAAGTTTAAGTATTTTAAAATATTATTTTAATTATTTATAAATTTATATTTTATATTTATTTTCAAAATTTTAATATTTTTAATTATTTATAAATTTAAATATTTATTTATAAGTTTTAGTATTTTAATATATATATATATATATATCATTTTTATATGTGTACCTCGTTAACTTCCATGCCTAGAAACTTATTGCATTTTTATTAGTACTATGATTTTATATATTATCATTAAATATAATTAATTCAGACATATCAGATAAAAGCGGAATTATTTGTTGAGTGAAAGTTGTGCTCCCAAATGTTTTGATAAAATAACATTTTAAATAATTATGAATTTAAATATGTCGGAACCGTCTTTCGGTTGGACCCGGAATTTGGCTTCGACTTGGATTAAATGAATTGGTTGGGTTAGAGTCGTCACCGACCGTTTTAAAACAAATTTAGGTGGGTCGGACACCATCTTACATGATCTGCGTTGTACCAGAAATGTGTCGGGTTCGGGAGTCGGTTACGGTCAAGGAAGGATTAGCACCATTGAACCGCCCTTTCGGTACCAATTAATTTGTCGGTTGTCTTAGTTGCGAAAATTAAAAATTTAAATTTAAATTTAAAAACCTGATTCGAATTGCTTACCTTTGATCGGTTGGAGTTACTACTGGAAATCAAAAATGTTAGATGGTAAATAAATAAAAAATATCGAATAAAATTAATTAAAAATGAAAAGGATATTAAATTTTAAAAGGGAAAATTGTTGAAAAACAGACAAAATAAAAGGAGAAAATACCAAAATAAAAATAATTAATAAAATAATAAAATAAATGGAAATGACAATACCTATAAAAATATTAAAAAAAAGGTTAAGTTGTGAAAAAAATGTTAGGAAAATAAAATAAGAAAAAAAAGTAAAAAAAGTAAGTAAATAAATAGATAAAGGGACCAAAATGAATTGAATTGGACTTTGTGGACCGAAATTGATACTAAAGACCAAACTGCAAAAAAACAAAATTTGAGGGTTAATTTGCAAAGCATAAATAGTGACTAAATTGAATGAATTGAGAATCCAGAGGTGAAATTACAAACGATGACCAAATTGTAATGCGACTCAAAACACTAGTAGGCCTGTAAATGAATTGAACGTTCAGCGAACCGTTCATGAACCGTGCGGCGAGAAGTTCGTTTATGTGCGTTTATTTATTAAATGAACGAACATGAACAAGATTTTGTGTTCGTTTAATTAAATGAACGAACGAGAACATAAAATGAACGAACATGAACATAGGTCTCGTTCGTTCATTTACGTTCGGTTATGTTCGTTCGGTTATGTTCGTTTATGTTCGTTCGTTTATGTTCATTCATTTATGTTTAACCCAATCTTCTTAAATCAATTTTGGTGACCAATTTGTAAGTTATAATGTTATTTTATAACTTTAGATTTTTTAAAATTACATTATTAAAAAATATATTAAAAATTCTAAACCCTAAAACTTAAAACTATAAACCATAAACCATAGACCCTTAATCTAATTATTAAAAACCCTAAACCCTAAATCCTAAACCTTAAATCTTAAATCATAATCCATAAAACCTAAAACTTAAACCCTAACCCCTAAAACTTAAACCCTAACCCCTAAAATCTAAACCTTTAATCTGATTATGTGATAGGGGGTTAAGTTATGCACATGAAGGTAACATACGAATTATGCAAAATGATGTTATGTGACTCCTAAATAAATCATTCGCATACTTATACATAAACATATCAACGTGCAAAATAAATATACATAACTAATTAAAGAAAACAATCCTAAACAGGGACTAAATTAAGAGAAACCTAAATGTGATGACTAATTTAAGCTAAATATACTAACTTTAGAATGATGATTAAATTAAAGTAAGTGTAAAATTAAACTTGTTATCGACCGTCACTAACTTGTTATCGGAGTCATTTCCACATATTAAAAACCCCTCCAGGGAAAAAAAGGATAACATCATTTAATGAGCTGCCAAGTGGTTCAAGTATAGAGAGGCAAATTACCTTGGAGCCAGGCTTCTAAACTTCCATTTGGAACAAGCTCATAACAAAACAAGTTTTGTGAATAGTCACGACTACTATAGTAACCTACAAGTTTCACAAGATTACGATGAAGCAATATGCTAAGCATCCCAACTTCAACTACAACTCTCTATTTCCTTGAGGCCCTCCACTGATAAGCCTTTTAATCGCTACAGTCGTCTCATCAGTTAAAATACACTTGAAAACTCTGCCGAATCCGCCATCCCCAAGCATGCTTGCGGGTGCAAAGTTGTTTGTTGCTTCTTTGAGCTCTTCATATTGTAGAAACCAAGTGTTGCTTGGGCGGGGAAGAGACCATGCTTGTGCAACCGCATCTGCAGCCTTTGGTTTTACTACAAGAAAAGAAAAACCTAAGCACTCTGCAAGACTGAATTAAAACCAGTAATGCAGAATCAATCAGCATTCTTATTACAAGGTTTTACAAGATGCACAAAATCACACAACTCAAGCTTTAGTTTTTAGCTAACCGAAAAGAAAATCATAGTCATTGTGGTTAAACATACCAGGTTCTTGAGGAGATGCTTCTGCCTTCCCCCCACAGAATGCACAGGAACAAATTATAAGCACGGACATTATAGCTAACCAAAAAGAAAATCATAGTCATTGTGGTTAAACATTTTCTTAATTGGCCTCGCTGATGAGAGAAAATGCAAGAATAAAGACATCAGCCCCACGATAGCTCAGTGGCCTTGCTGAAGCAATATCCCACATTGGGGAAGTACATGAGTGGACCACTTATTTGACATTATAAATAAAAGGCATCTACCTCCTTTCAACATACTTACCTGGACTGGGTCAATCGAGCTCAAAATTGAGCTTGAATCGAGCTCAAAATTGAGCTTCAATCGAGCTCGAGTCGAGCTTTATTCGAATTGATGAATTTTTTTTGAGTTCGAGTTTGAGTCGAGTTTCATTATTATATTTTGAGTTCGAGCTGAGCTTGATAATTTTAAGCTTGTGAGTTTTTGAGTCAAGTCGAGCTTGCTATTAAAGTTTTTGAGTTCGAGTCGAGCTTAACAATACTCGAGCTCGACTTGGCTCGTTTACACCCCTAGAAAGAACAATGGAAGGTAGGGTCTCTAACATTTATGTTCGTTTATGTTCATATTCATTTATGTTCGTGTTTATTTATATTTGTGTTCGTTTATGTTCGTTTATTTATTAAATGAACGAACATGAACAAAAAAAAATTTGTTCGTTTATGTTCGTGTTCGTTTATTTATTAAATGAACGAACATGAACATACTTCCATTCGTGTGCGTTCGGTTCGTTTACAGGCCTAAACACCAGGGACTGCGGAGAGAATTTAAGAATCCCCTATTTACAAATCGATCATTGGTATATAAATACCCCTTTAAACCCTAAAATTATCATTTAACACCAAAACACCAAAAAAAAAAAAAACTAAACACTCTCCCCTCTCTCCTAAGTCAGCCGTAGCCCGGCCACCGCCCGGTGACTTCTCTCCACCGTGCCGCCGTCGCTCTGGCCGTCGACACCCCGAGACATTCACCATCCCCCGAGATTCTAAATCTCGGCGTAGATCTAAGCAAATAAGTCTCAGCCTTTTACCTTTTTTTTGCAAAAAACAGTTCAATTCCCGACGAGCCCACTCGGTTCCAACGAGCACCATGACCGGAGCCTTTCCTCTTGTGCGAATGGTTTGCTTTGTATCTGTTTTTTTGTTATATGTGTAGTTTTGGCTTGTGTGGGTTTTTTGTGGGTTGTGCTTGGATTTGGTTCGGCGTTCTCACCGATTTGTTGTATTTGGTTGTTCTGCTCGATGGTGCTCTCGATGATGATAGGTGTTGTCTGTGTACTGTGTGTTATTTTTGTGGTTCGTATGATCGATAACGGTACCCCCTGTGAGTTGCTTGATGATGTATTTATACAGCCCCGTCGGGGACTGTTTCCGATGATATGAGG